ATATTAGGTATTTTTCTCTCTTTTCAGTCGCTTCTTAGCCAAACCAAGCACTAAAATCACTGTTAGAAAAGACTTCAGAGAGCCACGTTTAAGACTCAAAAGGGATTTTCGTCACAATTGGCGCAGACACCTCACAGTCTCTACCAAATCCAAAATAAGCCCGCCCAAGACGCTTTTTATCAAACTGCAGAATGCTGAGACGTGGCCATTGCTAATACTAAAAGCAACCTTAAAATGTAGTAAAGATAATTGTAAGTTTAGGAAAAGGAAATGGCTATAACTCTCAGCATGCCTCCATTCAAAGCTACCTTTGACACGATCATAAGGACCAGAAACTTAAGCTGCTGTTCTGAGAATTTCACCACTTTTAGCCTTTACCACATCCTTCCGTCTGTCCTTCCTTCCATCCAGGATTGCAGCATACAGATCTACTTGAGGGGTAACAATTGAATTTCCCAGTTTTTGTGGCAACCTCCTTGCTTCCACTAACCATCCAGCAAGCTGGTGCTAAACCTAAGCACAAAAGAATGTTGCTGCTGAATAGGATCAAAGGTCTGTCTAGCCCAGCATTGTGTCACCTCAAAGGCCATGGGAAGCCCACACAATCAGGCCATGAAGGCTGCCTCCCGCTCATCATCCCCATCAACCAGTGGTGATTAACTGAAGACATCTTCTGTCCTGGCTCAGAATGGAAACTGCAGCCTAAAACAGTAAATCTATTTATTAATGCAACCTCTGTTCCTTGATCAGGAGAAGCAAGGATACTTAGGATGCACTCCTATGCATTTCACACTGAAAAGCTCCTACAACTCCTGGCATGCCCCGGTCAGCAAACCCTAGGTCCCAACCTGCCCCACCAAAAGACTGTTGCAACTGCTAGCATGTCTCCAGAAAAAAAGACTGACAGCTCCTTGTTATAGGCTTTTTTCTGCCTTAATCTACATAAGATTGCATGCTAAAGAAATCATAGTCTTTTTGTGACAAATAATTCATTTATGGGGGATTTCTATGAAAGACAGGAATGGAAGGAGCTCAATTTTTGCCCTCTTTATAGTGGTTAAAATTATTTCATCTCCCAACTGAACCAGGCCTGGAAGCTGTTAAACGGTACCATAACCACACAGAGCAGAGATGATTGTAAAAGAACTGCTTAGACTCTGCAGATATTGTTTGCAAGTTCCATGGCCCTTCTTGTTCACTAGTTGTAGTTGTTCCAACACAAAACCCACCACTTTCCTGTCAAAACCTTGTTTTAAAAAGGACCCAGAGTTTTGGCAATGAGCTTTTTCATTCATCAAGGGGGAAACTACTTCTAGAATAAGCAGTGAATTGTCAGAGTGGTTTGTAATCCTCAAACAAGCCATCCTACAGGAAACAGTCCAGGTTCACATGGCCCAACAACCCACTGTGGGAAATCTCTGGGTACAATCATGGCTGTGGAACAGGATTAGAATTACCCACTGACTGTTAGGAAGAGATGATGGCTGATTATGTGTTTCTAAACTAGTTGCTGCATGTACATATGTTTGTGTAGGCCTGAATTTACACTAAAGAGACAGAGTTTCTGCTATGATTTCAGTGGGTGTGCTCTAAGTATGGCTAAAATTGGATGCAGCCTTTTAATTTGGGTGCAAGCAAGCTGACTTAAACTTGAATACCAACAAGCAAAGATAGCAATAGCCCTTTTTACAATAGGGCAGTAATCTTCAGTCTTGACTACAGACAACATTCCCTTCTCTGTATTATGACCTGTTTATATATATATTCATGTCTGGCATTCATCCCTCTGGTTTTTTCCATCTTTGTGTTATCTGGGGCTATGGGACACTTGCTAAAAGAATGGGGAGAAGGTACTGCTCTGATGACTCCACTAGGTGATTTTAGACCCTAGAAAAAATATTATCATGCCTCTCCCACTCCACTTAGATAGCAAAATATTACTATAGCATGCAACAAATATTTTTCTTCTCCCCTTCATTCCATGCTATTCCACTGCTTCCACATACCTGATATATTACAGAAGGGATGTTGGAGCACTTTTGGCCTGAACGTCTGTTAGGAAAATTTGGATAAATCCTGGCAGAAAAGCATTGCTTCTGTGTGCTTTTGCGTTATAAAATCAGTGCTGCACTCCTTCTCAAACACACCAGCTTTCCAAGCTAAGTCACTGTTTAAAATGGCATTCCTCCCCCGCTCCTTTCTCTCACCTTTACCTGTAAGCCACAGTAGACAGGCCATTCAGTTCAAATGTACATTATATGCCTTCACAATGAGTAAGTGATCCTTGTTGGAATTCACAGTTTACCAGGAAGTATCTATTTTGCTAGTCCAGAGCACTCCATGCACCCTGGCCAATCAGAATGGTGAGGATGCATTACTTAGAGTCTGAGTCTAGATGAGCTTATGAGTTCATAAATAGTTTCTCAGTAGTTTGAATTTACATGTCTAAGCAGACCTGGAGATGGGATCAAGTTACTCAACTAAAGTGTCAATACACTGCAATTAGAAATATTGTTCTTCGTCATGGCCTCTGTGCTTCACACATATGGGTACTGCGCCTGTAGCCGGAAGATTGATAGCTAATGGGTTTTGGCGGGAAGCTCCGCTCCCCTCCCCCCTGTGGCCTATAAAGTGCGGAGCATCCGCCATTTTGCTCAGTCTTTGCGACCGCCGTTCACTGTGCCTCGTGCTGCTTTCGACTTTCGCTTTGGCTATTCTTGGTTCTCTCCTTATATATTGCCTTTATACTACTTTCCCCTTACTTCATTTCCCGCTTCTATGTAGTTTTTCTCTTGTTATTTCTTCTTCGATCTATCAAAAAAAAAAAAAAACCCCAAAAATATATACTTACCCTCTGCACTATCTCTCTTCTTTTTCTTCTTTTCTTCTGTGATGGCACAGTGAGTGGTTTTCCGCAAATGTGCAGACTGCGGGTCAAAAATGGCACCTACTGACCCGCACGACCTATGCCTCCTCTGCCTTGGAGAGGGGCATAGGACGGATAAGTGCGTTCATTGTCTAGCCTTCTCAAAGCAGGCTAGGAAGAACCGCGAGAACCAGCTTTGGAGGCTCCTTTGGGATAGGGCTCTGATGCAATCAGACCCGCTCATCTCTATCCCAAAACCTGGCTCCGCTTCTGTGGCTCCACCCTCACGCCCTTCGGATGAAGGTGCGTCCGTTTCGGTGGCCCCCTCTGCTTCACCAAAAAAGAGGCATGAGAAGTGGAAGCATGCCGAAGAGAAGCCGGCAGGCCATAAGAAGGCCAGAAAGGAGAAGGCCTCTAAGCCTCCAAAGAAGGCTAAGTCCACGGACCGTTCCCGACATCGGAACTCGGAGCCGACAGGACCCTCGGTACCGGTGGTGGTTACGATACTGACCCCGCCTGAACCGATCCTTCAGGAGGCCATGCGGGTTACCCCTCAAGGGTCTCCCTGACGTGCGGTCGACCTCCCGCCTGCACCCCTTCCAACTTTACGGGGGTCTATTTCGGATGGGGAAATCCAGGACTCCCCTCCTAGAGTGAGGTCACCGACACTGATGCCCACGGTGACATTGGAGACAGAAGCTGGCCTGTCCCCACCAGGGAATCGGAGGAGGTGCTCGGTAGAGCAACACCTGGAGAGTTGGCATCGTCCCTACTACCAAACTTGGGGAGACCCGCTCTCTGTGGGGTACTACCCTGCTCCCAGGGCGTGATCCTCACCTCCACCCCGCGACCAACCACGGTCTGTGGATTCGAGGAGGGTGCCACCTCGATCCCCGCAAAGCGGAAGCAGGCGCTCCTTCTCGCCAGCAGAGTCATCATCTTCTGCCCCACCATACTACGGTGCTGATTCGGATGACTGAAGTAGACTCAACCTCCCCGGACGTCGTGGTGACATCCCAGGATCCTGCATCACCCGATGAGTCACACATCTCCTTCACGGAGCTGATGTCAAGGCTTGTCCAGTCCCTGGACATCGACGCTGCCCAGCGCCCGGGACTGTCGACGGACAAGTTTTACGACATCATCCGTGGGGAGCAATCGACCTCCATCGTTCTGCTGCTTATAACTACCCTGCGGCAGGCGATGACGCAGCCCTGGGACCTACCTTCACATCCTCAGCCGACGTCCAGGAGATATGAGTCTATGTACAGGGTCCGGGAAGAAGACATCCCCTTCCTGCTAAAGCACCCGAAACCAAACTCGGTGGTCGTCGAATCCTCGCAAGGCAGAGAGGCGAGAGGACATACGGCGCTGAAGGATAAGGAGGGCCGGAAAATAGATTCCTTGGCCAGGCGAGTCTATGCTGCCTCGGGTTTAGGACTTCGCATTTCCAACTACGAGGCGACGTTGGCGCGATATCAATATTTTATTATGCAGCGCCT